CTAGGGAGGAGGCGACCGAGTACGAGAGGAGGGCGGAGACAGCTCGCCTCCAAGCTGCAGCTCATCAGGCAATTGCCGCTGCAACTCATCAGGCAATTTCCGCTGCATCTCAGTACGACCCCAGCTACAACTTTGGATATCCGCCAAGCCAGCCGTGGCCATAGACCAACTTAGGCCAAAAGCCTAAGCTTGGGGGAGTACGTATTTATCACTGACATTACATTCATGTTCACATACTCATGCTAGTTGTTGGTGTTCATACTTTTTCACTGTGTCATCCATGCTAGTTTATTTCTTTTTTATGCTTTCTCTTGTGTGTTTGATAAACCTTAAGAAAAAAATAAAAAAATTAGTTGTAGCTTTTTAGCTAGTTTACTTTCCATGCTTGTAGTGGTAGTAATTAAAAAGAAAACCTAAAAAGATTTCTCGTTCTTCTTTTGCTTGTTGGGAGTGTTCCCGTGTAAATAGTTTTGTTTCTTTTCTTGGGGGGTCGAGAGAAGAAGACCATGATTAAAATGTTAAGTGGCTCTTATATGCATTATTGTTAATCTAATAAAGAGCCCATATTACATTGTCTTCTCTCTTGAGTTGAATGCTTGCAGATTCCAACTTAGTCCAGCGCACGTGCATTATTATTATTATCCACACTATTCGGTCGTGCAAGTGAAAGGCAATAATGATGATTATATGATGAACTTATTGAGATGAGAAAAGCTGGTATGAACTCGACCTCTCTTGTTTTTGTAAATATGATTAGTTCATCGTTTCTGATTTAGCCTATTATGAATAAACATGTTTGCAATGACAATTAGAGATTGTAGTTGCTTATGCCATGCTTAATTAGCTAGGAGCTTATAATGGTTTGCCTTGCGTGCCAACATGCTATTAAAATGGTTGTGATGTGGTATGATAGGGTGGTATCCTCTTTTGAACGATTCGAGTGGCTTGACTTGGCACATGTTCACACATGTAGTTGAGACAAAATCTACATAGCCTCTATGATATTTATGTTCATGGTGCATTATATCCTACTCATGCTTGCATTCGGTATTGATTAACTTTAATGCATGTTCATGACTGTTGTCGCTCTCTAGCTGGTCGCTTCCCAGTCTTTTTCTAGCCTTCACTTGTAATAAGCGGGAATACTGCTTGTGCATCCAATTCCATAAACCCCAAAGTTGTTCCATATGAGTCCATCAAACCTACCCGTATACGGTATCTACCTGTCGTTCCAAGTAAATTTGTATGTGCTAAACTCTAAACCTTCAAATAAAGATTCTGTTTTGTATGCTCGAATAGCTCATGTATCAACTAGCGTTGTCTGTATCTTCCATGCTAGGCGGGTTATTCTTAAGAGGAGTGGACTCCGCTCCTCACTCACGAGAAAATGCCTGGTCACCGGGATGCCTAGTTCCATGCTTTATGCAAATCAAATCAAAATAACTGCAAACAAAACTCCCCCGGGACTCTTATTAGTTGGAGGCACTCGTTGTTTCGAGCAAGCCATGGATTGATGCTTGTTGGTGGAGGGGGAGTATAAACTTTATCATTCTGTTTGGGAACCGCCTATAATGTGTGTAGCATGGAAGATATCGAGATCTGTCGGTTGTTACGTTGACAATGAAAGTATACCGCTCAAAATATTATTCATATCTATTTCAAAACCGAGCTCTGACACCTCTACAAATCCCTGCTTCCCTCTGCGAATGGCCTATCTATTTATTTTTATGTTGCGTCATCATCCTCTTATTAAAAAGCACCAGTTGGAGAGCACCGCTGTCATTTGCATCCATTACTATTAGTTTACATTGAGTATGACTTGACTGGATCTCTTTTACCATGAATTACAATGTCTAGTCAGTCCTTGATCTTTAAAGGTGCTCTGTATTTATGTTTTACGGTCTCGGAAAGGGTTAGCGAGATATCATCTTGTCATATCATATCATGATTGTTTTGAGAAAGTGTTATCATCCGAGATTTATTATTATTGCTCGCTAGTTGATTATGTCATTGATATGAGTAAACATTAGACCTAAGTGTTATTGTGAATATGGTTAGTTCATAATGTTTGCTGAAAACTTGAATGCTGGCTTTACATATTTACAACAACAAGAGCAAACAGAATTTGTAAAAGTTTTTCTTTATCACTTTCAGTTTATTAACTGAATTGCTTAAGGACAAGCAAAGTTTTAAGCTTGGGGGAGTTGATACGTCTCCGTCGTATCTACTTTTCCAAACACTTTTGCCCTTGTTTTGGACTCTAACTTGCATGATTTGAATGGAACTAACCCAGACTGACGTTGTTTTCAGCAGAATTGCCATGGTGTTATTTTTGTGCAGAAATAAAAGTTCTCGGAATGACCTAAAAATCAATAGAGAATTATTTTGGAATATATAAAACATGATATTACAAACATGGGTCTCATGACCCAACATACAAAGTCATACAAGCAACAAGCGAAGCATAAACCTGTCTGAGGACAGACGGCTGGAAAGAAAGAAGGCTAGAAGCTCGTCTACCTACAAGATCCTCCAAAGAAACCATACCTCCGTCTGGGATTCCCAAGCTACTCATCCAAGCCCATGTGAAACTACTAATGAGCCTGAAGTCTCCTATGCAAAAACATAAATTAAGCAAACATGAGTACAAATGTACTCAACAAGACTTACATCAAAACTAACTACATATGCATCAGTATCAATAAAGGGATAGTGGAGTTTAACTGCAGTAAGCCAGCTTTAACTCAGTGGCTATCTTGTACTACGACTATCAGTAATTTTTTTGAGGTGAGAAAGTGCACACGAGTCCACATATTCACCATATCAATACACCATTATGGATCCGCTCCCATCTCCCTCTGAGAAGGCCGTCCATAGCACTCACGCTTATCTTGCGCATTTTAGAGTATCCTTTTAAGTTGTCTATGAACCATATAAGTCTCCAAGTAGTCCATATCCGAGGATGCGACTATTCGAATAGATCATTTATAACTTTGCGGGGTGTACTTCACACATGTTTGCACCATTTAGCGCCTGCACAAGACATGTGCTCGGTAGACTTCCAAGCGAAAGTCGGCATGGGTGTAGACCACAACCTGACTAACCACACAAGACTCTAGTCCAGGTTTATCGCCTATCTGAGAACTGACCTGCAATGGAAGTCCGACCGATGTTTCCATTACGACCTCAAACGATGTGTATAGGGTTCCCAAGTCCACCTCGTCGGATGGTACTACGCTTGGTACACCGTGCCAAAGTGCCTGCCACATCAAAGCCTACCCCTTTGGTCAGCGCTAAGCACGGCCCCTAGCACAACCAATAAACACTAGAAACTGGTTATAACTCTTGGACAGAGATCAAGGCGACTAATAAGTCGAGTGGGGTCATATTTCAGGGCCTAGTGTGTGGTAATAGTTGTTCTTGGATAACATACGCATGACTTAGTTCTTAAAGACGGTCTCAATGAGACAACCCACCATGCACTTCTACATGGCCTCTCATTGCTACTTTTACCAAACCGTGTTCACACATTTAGCCCTCACACAGTAAGACATGTTCACCACCATTCCAATTCATCCCGGATGAATCAGACCTGACACAACTCTAAGCATAGCGGGCATAACAAGCAAGCATGAATGAATAGGCATATCATGGCGATGCAACTTGAAGTGGCCGAAAACAACGCCGACGCTGAGGTATGCGGCGGCTGGAGCTATGGGTATGCTCGGTTTGGCACTACGGAGCGTATCCGGGCTCCGCGGGTTGCTAGGGAGGTGCTGAGCACATTCCAGTACTCAGACGCAAGTGATGGCGGCTGTGGCTACGGCAACATCAAAGCCGACGGCGAGGAGTTATCGGGCTTGATGGAAGCGACGGCTATGCAACACAATCGAGCACGGGGAGAGAGAGAGAGGAGCGGTAGAGGAGCTCACAACGGTCACAAAGAGATGCTCGATGTGGTGGAGGAGACGCTGGAGACATTGGATCAACGCCAGCGGTCTTCGAACAGAGGCGGCAGGGACGAGCTCAATGGCGACGCTTCCGGGCGTCCGGCCTTGCGTGACTGGGCG